CCATTTGAGAAGCTGAAATCAGAGAATGTCTTTCTCAAAACGATTAATGGATTATCAAAATAGTTGATTAATTTAATAGTTGACAACAAGTCAACTAATTGTTGTAGCTCTATTAAGTAGTCAATGCTTTCTTCTAAATGAGAAACAGTGGTAACCAGTCTGTCCAGCTCTCAAAGGGGTCAATCAATTATTAAAACTACTCCGACTGAACCAAACTTTATTTACTCAGTTCACACATATTGCAGACTGCTGCATAATTTCCCACAGACAAAAAAAAAAAAGAACGGCGACGGTTGATTTGAGGGAAATGTGTTTCGGTGTTCTGACAGATGACTTTGCTACGAGTTATGAATCTCACTTTAGATGATGAGATCAGTGCCCGGCACTCAAATTCTTCTTGTCTAGCAGCAGATGCCACCCACCAACTGAAGACACATCCTGCCTTTCTCCCCGCAGACAATACTCTGAGCTTACAGCTAATTAGTGTTTGTGGATGGTATTCCCTGGGAACATGTAATCCTGGTCTCAGTCAGTCTGCATGCAAATCTATAGCCGCTTTTTCTTTCAAGTAAGATATCTCCTTTTGGCTACATTGCATAAAAACGGCAGCCATGCTGTGCTTTGACCTTCAGGCTGATACAATATCCTCAATCACTGAAATATCAGTTCTGCTTCCAACAAGTCTTTGTTCCTAAAATATTAGGTTTGTGGCACAATCTGCAGTGCCAAAAGGACTGGGTTTCCAGCCTCAATATTGTTTGTGGGCACTCATAATTGTGTCTCCAGCAGCAAGCAAATCAAAAACACTTGGCACCAAATTCTTCTTCTTCCTCTGTATAGTTTCCAGGACACCTGTCAGTGTTGCAACAACAACAAACAGAAGCATTTGAGAAGTTTGGCTTATCTTATTGATGGTTTTTATAGAAATAGTGTTTAAAACTTACATTAATCAGAGCAGAAAAAGGGTATTGTTTGCTTTACTGAAACAAAGGGCATTCAAGTATAACACCAATATTGGGAGAAAGAAAAAGAAAGAATGATACCCAGATCTTCCTTAAGATCTTTTGAAATACTGTCAGCTGGATCCAAGTTGTTAGCGGGCTTTAACATCTCAGTATAAATATTTCTATGTGAACAAATCTCAACCAAAGCTTGAAACACAACGGCCTCGTTATGAATTCATTATTGATATCCTTGAAGGAAATATGCACCCTAAAAAGAAACTGATGATCTATTTTTGTTGTTTCAGTATGCATGGTAGGCATCCCTCAGAACCCGAAGAGCAACAGACCCACCATGTTGCATCAGACAGAATTCAAAAGACAAAAAGAAATCATCAGAAACAAAAAAGAGCAATTTTACCACTCGCAAGAAGCAGGATGAAGACCAGAATGCCAAAAGCGTGACTATCACTCATTTTCAGTAGCTACATCTCTTGCTCTGTCGCTCTTCTATGCTGTCGGCAACTCTATCACTCCTTCCAACACAGCCGAATACAACACGTTGGCATTGAACGGGAATATGGAAAAATGTAAAGCATCGGTGTAAAAACTGTTGCCCTACGTCCTTGGAGAAGAAAGAAGAAGTTAAATTAGGTGACAACATTCATTAGTTTGACTATAGTGTGACCTAATCATTATGACAGCTAAAATAGGGCTGTGAGCTCCTGTAGCCTTCAGCTTCCACATCAAAACACATCAACCTGTGTGCATCACCGCTGGAAGGGGGTACAAACAGTTACACCTTCACCACTAAATAACTCCAGGGTAGCTATGAACTTGGTAGTATTTTTGCTTTACAATCCGTCACACCAGACCTTGTTTCCCCCTATAGTGAATCTCCCCAGAGTCGAAAGTGGCTGTTTAACCATCCTCCAAGTTCCTTCGCCACTTAGTCTGCAAAGTATCTTAGTTTTGGCTCATGTTCCACAAAATTAAATCCAACTCTCAACCCCCAATGTACTCCCAAAGGCAGGGAATACTTGTATTTGGAGATATATTACAGTACACTAACTACACGTCCTTACATGTTCTCACATGGTCAGAAGCTTATTTTTTTACTTACTAACGCCACGTTGTTTCCTATATATGGAATATATATATAATATATATATAATATATATATAAATAATATTACAACTTAAAAAATTTACAAAATACAGGTACAATACAATCAAACCCTCGACAGCAGACATCAGATATCCACTCACTGCCAAGGAAACTTGATAACAATCTCCAGTTGAGTCATTTTAGCACGCACCGTTATGCAGGACGAGTTAAATTGAATGTTACAGTCAAACACAAGAATACACCTCAAGCATGAGAGGGGTCACATTCTTTAGCTGACAGCTCTATGAAGTGGGACTCCTATGTGACGAATCTGTTTGTGGTAACTGAACTATGCAAGATGGGAAATAACATGCACCCTATGCCTGAGGTATTAAAACCACCACTACTACAAGGGGGGGGGACATTTGGTGTCAATTATAGGTGGACAGCAGGCATTAACCTTGAAGCTGGAGTCAGGGTAAGAGGAATCAGGGTTACTAGAGTCTACCTGAAGTCTTCAATCAGGCTAAGCAGACACGTCTAGCCGCCTGTCCTTTGATCTTTTACTCACTACCATAAATCTTCTCTTTGGACCTGCACAAGACTACACGGCCCCGCTACTCAAAGCTCACCCGTGCAGCCGGGTCAGTGCCATTTGGCTCTCGAGAGCGCCTTCATCTGAAGTACATCTCCTTTTTCCTCTCTGGCATTTCAAAAGGGCGCCTTTCTGCCCTCTGAGCATGAACAGACAAGGCAATAAGACGGAAAGGAAAACATCCCGTCCATCATGTGCACAACAACGTAATCTGGTGAGGTTCCATAATACGTGAAGGGACGACGCAGGCGGAGGATTTATGGGATCACAGTGTAGGTTACCTTTCTGGTATGTGGAGCTGAGGTTTTTCTAAATCACAGGCTTGGGAGTATTTCTGTCACATATATGATTTGACCAGACTTGCCTGTCCATGTGCAACACCACTGAACGACGCAGAGGGGAAATTTCAGGGAAGTAAACCCTCAGAATTTGAATCCCTGATGCCTGCCGTCCGACCGCTCCTGTCCTGATGTCTTATGATGTCAGATAAGAGGAGAAGGGCCACTCAGACTGGACTCCCAGTATCTTCTGCAGCTTTTCCTTGCCTTACGCTGGCAGACGTATTCGCAGGGATGCAGTATCAGTTGACATATTCCCCCAAACACTTACACATAGCTATAACTAACAGCTTCAAAATCCATATAAAAACCAATGACTAGGAATGTAAAAGATATATTGCGAGACAGTTGAATTGCGATAGAAATATGCGAAGATTCAAATCAGTGGGATGATCAGCCGACATGAGTACCGATCCAATACATGCGAGTTAGAAATTAGATATATATGCTGTATATTATTATATTTTAACATGCGTATACTACTAAGCCTAAGCCGGGTTAAACCGGGTCATGACTTTGTTATCCTGGGAATAAAAAAAAACAGGACACTGCTGGGAAGTAAGCAGCGTCCCATTATGGGGGGTAAATAAATTACGTGGTACCGGATTGCATACTCGTTGATAACACGGTATCGGAAGAATCAGGGATGGGACGATACTTGATATTATCACGTATCAGGATAAAAGCACTCATAAGTTAATCGTTAACTTCCATTATTGAGATACTCTTGAATATCCTCACATGGCTTAACTTGAAAAAGCTGTTTAGCTCGCTAACGCCCAGCTTCCTCATTGTATCCCCCACAAAAAAAACTAAAATCTGTGGAAATACTATGGATAGCAAAACTTAAGAACGACATGGAGCTGTCCCTTTTGCCCCAAACCACAGTTTGTTAGTTTCAAGCAGGAAACAATGGCGGCTCGCCTGGTGACACACAATCCCATAGTCCAGCTAAACAGTTCACTAAAATATATTATGAATATATATTTATACATATTATATATATGTATAAATATGAAGCGGTTTTAGGAGAGAAATAGTCAACACAGTAACAGAATCTGGATCCATATCTGATCAGCACTGTCTAGTTTGACAGTTTGATCTGAGTTTGATGACCTGTCAAACATAAGTTAGCCCCGCTTTATGGTCTATTTTACTCTAAATGGGACCATAATTTACTAAATGAACATCATGCTGTATGGAAGAAGACTTGAAACTAGAGATTGAGACCATAAACTCATTAGAAAATTGTTCACTGAGCTCATAAATCAAGAGAGAAGTCGGCTCACTTCTCCATAAGAATGAATGGTGTCGGAGCTGCCCCCTGCTGGCCATTACAGAGAATGCAGGTTGAAGACACTTCTGTCCTTTAAATATATATATATATGTATATATACATACAGTTAATGGTTTATATCCTAACACATAAATAAAAAGGGGATTCTTTAATTTGTTTTCAGTCATAATTTGTCCTTAAACTCAAAAAATCTTGCAAAAATTGTATCAAATCATGAGACAGTTTTATAATCTTCACTTCAAATGCTTCAAAATAAAAGAAGATTATGAACTGAGTGTCACTGCTTACCGTTTACAGCAAGGTTAAGTTAAATAAGTAACAAACTGAACCACCTCAAATACACCAACAGGGTGCACAAGCAGAGGGCAACGTGGAGAGAGAGAGAGAGAGAGAGAGGGGTTATTTTTAGTTTCTTAACATACTCGCTCAAACAGACACAATTAATATAACCCGGGTTTATTTTAGCACGTTATTAAAAATATCCTCCACAATTTTAACCCCGATTGCAAAACAACCTGTGGCTCATGTGTTAGCTTCCAGCGAGGGGTCACATAGAGAACGGTACGCAGGGCGCAACATATGATACAGACAAACAACATAAACAACAACAACAACAACAACAACAACGTAAACACATAAACAACAGAGTGAGACAAGAGCCTCCGCATGACAACAGCTGTTACCGGTAAATCCGTTATAACGGTTCATCATATCGTACTTACCCTCTTGCTTGTGGACGTTAGATGAGTCCTCACGCACACGCACGCACACACGCACACACACGCACACACACACACACACACACTTCGACCGGTGTCGTCTACCGGTTCATTGCAGCCTCGTTGTCGGTAAACCGGGGAGAGAAAAACAAAAACATAAACATAAAAAAAAAAAAAAAAAAAAAGGTTGACCTGAGTTGGGTTGTTTGTTTGTTTTTTTTTATTTTGAATTATTTGTTTCCTCTCTCTCGGAGTCGATCCGTTCGCTGTCCAACCGAGACGAAGCCTCTTTTCTTCTGTCTGTCAGTCACTGTGCAGAGCCGGCTGTCCGCTCCGCCGCCATCTTGGTTGTGATGGGAATCCACACACACACACACACACACACACACACACACACACACACACACTCTCTCTCTCTCTCTCTCTCTCTCTCTCTCTCTCTCTCTCTCTCTCTGGGTGGCAGTTACACATCACAGCCAGCCTCTCCCTCCCTCTCCTCACATAATCTACCTGATGCTGGTTATATTACCTCAATACTCATTTATGCCTCATACTTTAATTAATTAAACTTAATTCAGATTTTTTTTTTTCCCCCTTAGAATGATCTAATCTCCTTTTGTTGTTGTATGGAGTCCCTTTAGGGCCAAAATCATATGACTTAACAACAGAAAATGTATTCATATATGTATTTAAGAAATACTTTATTCATTACAATTGTTCTACTCACACAACGTTAAAGAAATAGTACTTATATACAATATCTAAACACAATAAATGGAATAGAAATGAATATATAGGTGTATATATACATAAAAAGTAAAAATAAAATGGAAAAATAGAAATATAATAAGAGCCTAAAAGATATAATAAGATAATAAGAGCATTTATACAAAGTAAATGTAAATTTAAACATATATTGGTGACAGAAATTAATAAATAGTAATGAGTTTTAAGAAGTTTTGGTTATAAAGAATGACATAATAATCAAGTGACCCGGGTTTTGCACCTTAATCGACTCACTGCACATTAACAGCACCAGTTTAATACAATCAATATATATAAAGCCTATCAATACATATTTATTTTATTTTCATTATGTTGCAGTTACTAATAGAAACTGTTAGACTAATTATGTCATTACATTATAAACAAGCAAGATTATTACACCTTTTTATTGCCATTATTGTTTTTGTATAATTTGCTTTTAATTCCATAATTTTACCCTTAAAATAAACTCCTCTGTTGTTGTATGGAGTTCCATTAGGGCCAAAATCGTATGAAATAAAAACAGAAGATATATAAATCATGTGCACCAATGATACAATTAATATGGCCTATACCAATAGATATTTATTTCATGTCACTATTTTGCAGATTAGTTACTAATAACCTGAAATTAATGATTCAAATTTAACATGAAATGTTGCAGTTCTGACTTTTTCCCTGAGACACGCCACTAAAAAAGTTAAATTTTAAATGATTTCCTTACTTTGTCTGGTGAACTTTGTTCTGTTTCTTTATCCACTAAAGCCAACAGAATGGATTTGAATGAGTTATAAATGAATAAAAATACCTTGGCTTTCAATAAAGGACCCACAGACCTTTACACTTCAACGTAATCCACCCTCTTTTTATTTCCTTTTCTATACAATCTGGAGCATTTCATCTTACCTAAGATGATCTTGTCTGTCTGTTTGTTTGTTTTTGTCAAAAATAATAATAAAAAAAAGTAATAAAATACAAGTGGACTTCATTCCAGTGACATTATATCAAACTGTTTCACACTGGATGAGCTCCAAATCCTGACCGGCACAGTCAGCCTGTCATGGTTTGCACCAAAAACAGCTCACGCAGCTTGTGCCAACTTGAACTGACGACTTCAGAGTGACAAGTAAACAAAATGTGGAGCAGCAGCAGCCTCACAAAGAAATACCGAATAACAAACGCATATTTCACAAGGCTCGTAGTGGCTGAATCCAAAGGGAAAATATGTTGTATTCATTGTCTACGCCAAACACTTAAAAATCTGTGAAAATAAATTAACTTAAGAAGCATCACCACTACCTGCTGCTACTTGATTATCAGCTGATTGAGATTCAGCGTTATACCTGCTGCCTCATACGCCGCCTGTGCTATATTTAAGCTGGTTTCCACCCCTTGCCGCCAACAAGCAGCACGCTGGCATGTCAAAATGGAGCACAGCTGGTGTGTCGCCGATGCCGCAATGCCTCTGAAGGTGCATTCAGATTGCCTGCAAAGCACATTTTTAGTTGTGTGACCAACTGCAAGTGTTTTTGGTCCATAACTACACAGCCTGAAACATACAAACCAACCGTGTGTGCAGATTGTGCTGTGGTGTGCTTGTTTTTATACACAATTATAAGGTTATAATGTTTTAGAGGTTTGTGTTTTCCAGCTTGTTGTGGGGGTTTTCTGCCCCCAAGTGACATAAAATCTGCAGCTTTAACTACAGACAAGTTTGCATCCACTCACGTCTTTGCATTAACATCAATATTCACTGCTGTTCAGGATCAGCAAGTAATCAGTCAAGTTTCTTTGTACGTGAACTTGTGTCAGCTCCTCACACGACTCTGCAGCTGTATTTTGTTTCATTATGCAAAGAGTTAAAAAATAATGTGTCAGAATTAGAGCACAAGTGTGTATAATTCAGACTTGTGTGCACATTCCTTTACAGATAAACAGTCTGGAGCATGTAGATGCACGAAACACATTGCACCAAAGCCTCGTGGCATAGATTATCCTGAAAATGGATTAAATGAAGCTGAAAGAGGGGAATGTGTTTGAAATATCTTCTGTACCTGACAATGTAGGTCAATAATGAATGTCAAAGAGATCATTAGTGAAGAGTGAATTGCAGGAAGCAAAAGTATGGTTTAGGACTGCATCCAAATACTCCCACTCAAATAACCTAGCTTTGTGCCATGGTGGGAAATGTATTTGAGCACCTCTTTTGTTGGCTCTGGTGTTTCAGCTGTAGAACGAGACCTGTGTTACAATATCTTAACAAGCTGCCGGATCTCGTTTCCATCAGCAGAGTGTGTAAGAGAAAGCATTAGAAACAGCGTGTTAGTGTTAGAGACATGAGGCAGAGAGACTTGAAACGCTCAGTTCACACGGGTTTCAAAGTACAAATACAAAAATAATGTTTTTATTAGTGATACAGTGTGAAAGTATGAGACGTTGTGTGCTAATCTTCTTAAATAATGACGTTTTAGTCATTGAAAGGCTTCAATTAAAGCCAATGATGCACCAAATTCTACATAATTGTATAACATAAAATGATGCTAAAACTTTTAGAATAAATAAAAAATAGGACTTATTATTATTCTCAGGATGCTAAACTAATTCTTGCAAAGGATAAAAACAAAGAAACACTGGAAACAAGTAATGCAAGGATATGAAAACCTATCTCGGGTTGAGAACCTTGTGGGGCTTAGAAAAATCCTCTCAATACAATATAGAAGTAAAAACATCAAAATGACAAACAGCAGTGAGAGAAATACATAAATCACAAGAAAGGAAAGAAATAGAATTTACAGTAATCCTGATGGGTATGATATAGACAAAGTGAAGGAGTGGGTGTGTGTGCTCAGAGGGAGAGAGGGAGGGACGAAGATGCCTGAGCACGTTTATCATCAGTTTAAAGACTGTATTTAAGGAGAGTTTATATAAGAGCATGGAAATAATTAATTCTAGTTTCTATTTATCTCTGTTTTTGGTCCTCACCAAATCAAATATTTCTTAAGCTGCTAAATGCCACCAGCTAGTCGCTGACTGTGTGTGTCTGCTGTTTGGTGCTGAGCAGCAGCAGCAGTGGGTTTATCTGAGCTTTGTTTTCGCCCACTAAAAGAGGCTGAAAAAGAGTTGGTGATAATTCACTGTGGGTTCATCATTGTGTGGCCATACGTAGAGAAGACAGAGCGTAAAAAAAAGGGACTATTTTGCAGCTTTTGCAGATTCTATGGAGGCCCAAAGTGCTCAATATTAAATAATAGCTTTAATATAACCATTAGATTTTCATATAATCTGCTTAAAAAAAAAAAAACCCTGCTGTGAAATTAAAATAAAAAACATGAAGAAAATTAAATAAAAGTGACATGCCATAATGTTGCTGTGAAAGAAAACTGGAAACATTTCATATAAAGCTGAGTTTTAAGAATATATTGAATTCTTAATCACAATTTAATGTGGTATAGGACGTATTTTGTCTGTATTTATTAATATGATCATTTCTTTCAAGGTGTATTATTTTTTATTTCATATCGAAAGGCTTTGGGTCTCCATAGATTTAAAATCTATTTATTTTTTAGAGCCTCGTTTAATAACATATGATGTACTCTTGCATTAACTACAGTTCTTCTCTTCTCAGTTACAAAGTGTTTTACAATAATTGAAATAAAGTAATATGTGACTCATTTGAAATAAGTGCTCGGTGCCCTCTGCCTGCTGCCTGTGGACATGAACGGAAAAGGGAAAAACCCAAACAGTCTCAAAAAGCACCTGAACTGCCCACATAGTTATGTGTTTAATATCGGAGAGAGGTCTAAAAGAGGGCCGACAGTACCTGAAAAGTAGTTTGCCAGCAGACTGTAACACTGAGCTTCAACACAACTGCAGAGGCAACACTTTAAACATTATTTATGGAATCAGGTTGAATTTATCAGCTTGTTTTTCAGCCCCGCAGTCCTGTCAGATAAACTCAACACCCCTTAATCATCACCACCAATCATAAATATGTGTTATATATATATATTTATACATATATATATATTCATACAGTTAATTGTCAGTGTTTTGGTTTATTTACAACTACTTACTACTTGTGGAACAAGCTGAATGTTTCACATTTATCTATGTTTAACTAACTTTTTTAATTATTTGTCCATTACTTTTTGGTATTTTAGCCATTTTTCTGCCACTTTTAGCTATTTCGACCATTTATTGATCAATTTTAGATAATTTTTTTCCCATTAAGTTTACACTTTTAGCAAACTTTTTTTACACTTTATTCATTTTGTGTTGCTTTTTCAACCATTTATCCATTAATTCAAACTAAAATGTCTCTGCTCGCACACTATCTAGTGTTTTTAAACATATTTTAAATTAAACTGTAATTTCAGCATTTTTCCAAATTACTTTAGTTACTCCAAAATCCTTTCACGTACCCCCTGGCAACTGCAGAAGTACCCCCTAGTTGGAAATCACTATATTATGTAAAATACCAGTATTTAAAGTCTGCTAGACCCAAAATTAAAAATGTGCTTTATCAATGCTTTTCTCCTTAGAAACGGAACAATCTTCACACAGGCTTTCGAGCTCTATTGGCTTTTAAATGAATTACGGCCGT